TTCGGATAGTTATTGTTTTTTGATTATAATATTATAGTCATTGTATCTTCGGTCCCGGGGATGAAGGGTTCAAGTCAATTTCGCGTAGTCCGCACAATATAATAAAATTCCAAAAACTACTCGGCTAGGTCGGTTAAAACAACGGCAGTTTCGCAGTATTATTTTTACCGAATGGGCTCAAAATTACCCAAAGGCCTAGTACCCAATACTGCAGTCGTCAAATATTTGATTGGAATTATCATATGGTATTTGTAAGCCTGTTTCTCGTGGGCCCTGAAGACGTGGCCTCCCGGCTGGCCCTTCAATCCGGGCTTGTTCGGTTCAAATGAATAAAGAGAACGAAATTGCGCGAGACAAAAATAAAATGCTGAAAGTTGACTTTCGTCCTTCGTTACTTCTGGACCGAAGATAATATTATACTCTACGGTATGCCTTCACACTCGGTTCACGTCGTTTCTCTTGTAAATTTCGTTTTCATTTTGTATGTAAGTACCTATTGCATTGCGTATTCTTTTCGACGGCGGTCTAATAATACAATTGAACCGAAAAAGACCCCATAACCGCTCGTTTCGGACGACACAAAGTTCAAAGAGTGAAGACATTTTTGCTTCGGTGGCGGTTCCAGACCATAATATTTCCATTGTGAGAGGAGATGGGGAAAAGTCATGTTCAACAAAAAAATCCTGTGCATATATTTTTAAGTAATTTTTTTTTAGATTAAACTTTATGAAACCTGACTGCAGGAGCGAATGTTCCCGCTGTCCTCTCACTGGATCCGCCACCGACTTTCTGTACTCATACCACGTCGAATAACTCGTTCGCGTGTTTTCCGTTCGTTAATATTTTTTATCTCTCCTCGTCTACCCCCCTCCCCCCCCCGAAATCGACAGGGAAGTGGGTTTTTTTTTTACGATTGATCATAATATTTTTTTAAAACGACACCTACGCGTATTAAATCCTCAAAAAAAAAAAAAAAACAATATTTTTTTATTTACAAGTTACTCTCAAATACCAAATTGTTCGGAAAACCCCAACGTTTCCGATAAAATATTATATTTTCGCCGCCGATATACGTCCTTTATTTTTGTATGCCGCATTATTTCATCATCATCATCATTATTATTATCGTGTTTATCTGTGTGTAAAAAATCTATAAATGTACCTAAGGCTGGGCGTTAACGAGTCAAAAAGGTTACAGTTTCAACTTTAACTTTAAATTATTTTTACCGGGTTTATTTTCGTTCAAATTAATAAAACGTTTTCTTCTCATTATGGGCTTTGACTTCTAAGGCCAGCCCCCTTAGCAAATTCACCGCCACATTTCCCCATCCCCCGTCATTTCTTTCCACAGTCTATTCGATCCCACTGATTTCACGTCCACTTTTACCCGGTCTTCCCATCCTGAACGCGGTTTACTCAACGGTATTTTACCAATCGAGGTTTTATTAAAAACCGTTGTAATACGCGAGTCCTCTCTTATTCAAGCGTGTCTATTCCGCGAAAGTCTTCCCTTGCTAATTTCCGTTTGTAGATTGCGATGAAATAAATTCTCTAGCCTTTCATTTTGACGTTAACTTCATAAATAACGGATTAAATTAAATTTGCATCGGTTAATTTCAATTCCTTCTAATTTTTACACGGTGTCGTGTTCAATTTATAATCTACCTGTTAATAATAATTTTCCAAAAAAAAAAAAAACAACTAAAACACAAATTAGTCATTAATGTGAATACAACAATCCAATTGCTTTCAATCGAGTTCATACTACTAACCATTAACTAACCCAGCCTTATGTGTTATAACTGTCTTTGATTCGCGCGTTTATAATTAAACATATTATCTATATTTTTAATCCGAAATATGAGGAAATATCGTCATATTTTAACTGATCGATAAGGAGTGAGCACATTGAACCCGTTCAGTTCGGCTACAGTCGCGTTCCATTTAATCGTTAAGCGTGCGAATACAATGATACGCCCAGCAGCCCAGTGGCGTACGCCGCGGTTACGGGTAGGTTTATGGTTATTATGTCCTTCCGCCCAATTGGCTTGCAAACACAACGACTGTGAATAGTTGTTTATTCAGTAATTTCGTATTGCCGTTATATGTTCAGCCTAGTTACGAGGAAATAAAGCTCGGCCGATTGTATACGAGTTGTCGTTTTCGGACCCGAATTCGGAACTTTCGCTGTCGGGTTAGGCGTAACAAAAAAAAAAAAAATAAATATCCTACGATTTATTCGTAAATCGTAATTATCGTCCATTACACTACCTCCCGTTGACAATCCCCACATCATTAACTATACCAAACGCTTCCGTTCAGCTCGTTTTCTAACCCTCTATTCACATCGGTTCAGTCCATTATCGCTCGACTAGTGGAATCCACTGAAAACAAAATACGCGGAGGAATTGACTAAGGCGAAACGGAGACTGCAGATTTAATCGATTTCAATATCTCCGTTGATCCGTTACATTCGGAATGTGTGCCTGAACCGAACCGAACGGACCCACTGTGCTTGTTCCTTTAAAATTATTTTTGAAATTAACTCGTGTTATTGAAATTATTAAATAATTATTACTCGTATAACACTATGTTTATCGTGGGACGTGCGAACCGCGTACTTGCATTTGCGGTGTAAGTACGCCGTAACAATAATAATACTATCGCCGGTTTTCCTTCCGCTGCGCCATCTCGCGGTCCTGAGCGGACCTATAGCACGGTTTAAAATAAATCAAAAATATTTTCTAATAATACAATACTTTGTGCACGCCGCTACAAAAGACAAACATAATTTTGGTTCGTACCGACACGCGCAAGTGAACGAAAATAACGCTAAGCAGAAAAAAATAGAATACAGAACGCCTGTATAGTTTTTTTTTAAATTTCAATATTTCCCGTTTAGTATTTGGAACGCCGTAAGTCGTACAAACACATGTACCTACACAAAACAAGCATGATACCCAACTCATTTGTTGTACCGTTTTTACTCGTATCGAACAATTTTGTAGATTGTCATCGGCTGTTAAAATGATTATTTATAATTAGATTATTATCGTGTTTAGTGTTTAAATAGTAATGCTAAGGTAATAATGATAACACCCTATATAATATTATCATAACGTCGTTATAGGAGTCTAGATGGTCTTCCTGTCTAGGAGACGGGAGTTTACACGTCTAGATGTGATCGTTTATCCGATGCTTTTTCTTACTAGCGACCGTAACAGTACGCTATGCTTTTGCCGGTAAATTTGCCAGCGAACAACACCGAACACCGTGCGCAATCGAGTGCGCCAATAAATCGGCATAGTACTCGGTCGCGTCGTCTAGCACCCCGACATGGTTTTTCGGAACTTTTTAAACCGGATAATACAGTGACGCACCGCTGAATTAAAACGACGCTCGCAGACCATCGCATTATAGACGCCCGGCTGTTATCTCCGCTAAACAACTGTAATATACCGTGTGTTATCAACGTTTCACCGCAGTACCGGTGGTTTACTGTACGGTTGCTAGCGTAAAAAAAAAAAAAAAAAAGCATCGTGTAAACGGCACTCAATAGATTAGAAACGTTATTTTTGTATAAATATTATTATATTATCACGGAATCCGGTACGTCGGTATTTTGACAACTCGCACGATCTTACTGTTTATATTCGTCCGCGATATTTTAAAAATATTTATGTGTTTCACGATATTATTACTATATTATCAATGTTAAGGAAAACGATACGGTTTCCGAATAAAAAAAAAAAAATAATAAAAAAAAAAATGAAAATAATAAATATCTATATATATATACTATCCCGAAAAACGTATTTTATTTTGTCTTGTCGTATCCGTTATCTCTTCCCGCGCGTCGGCGCACGCGAATCGCGTCGAAAAACGATATTTTCTCCGAGTCGCGTCTCCGTCAATAACTGGTTATTCCCGACGACGCGCGCGCGCGTTTTTCGCCCCGAATCGTTTCGTTATTTTCGTTCGATTTTAAGCATCACCAACTGCACGAACGTTTCGAACATTGTCATTTAAAAAAAACGTTTTCGGAAAGCGAATCCGTTTTCATCCGTTACCGGTGCAATAGAAACGTCTCGCCGGAACATTTCACTCGCGGGTGTCCTCCGTTGTTACGCGGTTGGAAAACGGGGTGCGTTCAAAACGATCGCGGCGAATGGCGATGGCCACTCGAACGGCATCGATTTCCGACAGTAAATCATACTGTTGGACGACGTTTACAGACGGGCGTGTCGATAAGGCTGGTTGTTAACTACGAGTAAATTACCGAACATTTAGAAAAAGACGATATTATAATTATTACGTTTGCTCGGAACAGCTATCGAAATACCGCGGGACGCATGTCGGACGCGGCAGTGCAAATACGCGATTCGGTTTTTTTTTTTTTTTTTTTTTTTCGGCACGCGATTCGTATGCCGCAGCCCTAATCTTCCGCACTCGATATCATTTTATCTCCCTTATTTTAATAGTCGGTATCACGGTTCCGAGCCGCGCCTGTGTAAAGTACGCACGAAATGAACAACGGTTCGATTGGTCGCGGAAAATTAAACTTCCGGTCGATGTATTCAATGCGTATCGATTTCACTCGGGGAAAAAACACCCCCCCCCCAAAAAAAAAACACCGTCGAAAATATGTTGTCGTAGTGATAATATATCGTTCGATTTGACAATAATAACGGGGCGGCCGTTGTCGTTTTGATTTATTAAACTCTCGGGGAAAATCCGGCGGCGCAAGAGTTTTGAAGATGATGAATCGTGCGCGCGGGGCTACAAAAACTTTGACGCCTTAAGACCAGAGACGTTTCGACACACACAAGTTCCCCCAATAATATCCCGGGGTATAATAATAATAATAATACTGCAACGACAATATCGCACGACGCCAATTAATTACCAGCCGAAAACTAGCGGGGGGGTGGTTCACCTCGTCGTCCTCTGCGACCCCGTCCCTATCCCCGGTCGCCTAAGCTCGTTTTTATTTCGGCTCCGGCACAGTCGCACGGACCACTCCGAACCTGAAATATTTTCATTCGGCCGGAACTAATAACAATAATTTTTCTATCGTTTACATATCCGCGGAGTTTTTTGTTACGGATATTTTTGGTTTCGGCTGTAATCCAAACGACACATCGCCGGTAATTAGACAGTCATTTTTACCCGGATTCGCAGCCGGGGGAAACGAGAAAAATGTCCGCTCCCCCACATAGTCACGATGTGATAAAACGAACAATAATGTAACGAACACGAATCCAGACGGTTTTCGTGTGACGCGCGTGTCTCGAAATTCGAACTCGCTCAAAAGGGTAACGGCGCCGGCGGAACGCGATGACGATCGCCGAATTTCGCGGTGTGAGGTACACGAAATATTGCAGTTGAAAAACGAAAAAAAAAAATAACGTGTTTCGCGGCAATTTTTATTTTATTCGACTTTCGTGTTGGAAAAAAAAAATGCAGTTTTACATGGCCGGTAACCGCGACCTCGTGACGGCCGCGGCGGAAAAATATCGTTTCCAATATTAATAAATTTACCCGTTGTTCACGACGAAAAAAACGTCGAAACGGTGCGCGATAAAAAAAAAAAAAAATAAATAAAAAAAAATAGCAGGTGCATTAACGGCCGAACGGAAACTGTAATAATATGTGGACCGATAATTTTATTGCGGTACGAAAAAAAAACCGACTCCGGAACAAACCCCGACGCGGATTTGTTGAAAAGTAAGTGGATTTTATTATTATTATTGTTATATTTTTTATCAAAAACTACCGTTACCTACTGTGTGTAATATTATCGTCGTGTCGTAGCACGTTATAATTATTGTTGACGCGTAATGAAATCGCCGAGAAACCGCACAGTATTGTTGACGGTTTTATGCGGTTTTCCCTCAGCACCCCCCCCCCTCCAAACAATCGCGTTTGAAACTCGGGTATAGTATTATTCGATTACGCCGTTCCGAACGGGTTTCACCGACGGCGCGCGTTTCGTGTTATTATTTTTCGAGTAAAACGTTAAGCGGACGGCCGCGGACACAAACACTTTCGGAAACCTAACGAATCGACGGCGATGGTTTCGGGCGGCCGGGTAGAGAGAGCAGAAATAGGATCAAACTTTTTCAAAAGCCGTTGGCAGCTAAAACACGAACAAATTCGATTTTAGATTCGGAGCGTAGCGATTGATTGGTTTTAACATTGGTGTTATTTTTTTTTTTTTTCACCTGTGAACAACTTTTCTACCGGAAATCTTGTTCCGATTTTCAAGTGTAGTAAACTTTTTCGAAAGGTGATTTTAATCTGGTTGATGTTTTAAAGTTGTTATTTTTTTATTTTCCAAGCGGTTTTCACAACTATTGCGGAAAACCGGAAAAACTTGGGAAAATGCATGCACATGTATAAAAGTATAACTTCGCTCCGAGTTGTTTGTTTTCGTTAGTAATGGTTTATCGTTGCGTACAGATGTAAAAAAAACTTTTCACCTACAATAGTGACCCACCCATCGTGTGAAGGACACCTGTTTTTATTTTTATACATTTCGTATTAATAGGGAAACTTGTGGGGCCGGAGAAAAAAAGGCTATTAAAAAAAAAAATTAACAAAATGTTTTGGTTGTGTGACGGCTATACACAAAAGTACATTTAATTGCCTATACGACGGGCGCGATTTCGATACGGTTGGTTTTTTTTTATATCTCGAAATTTGCTGTGTCTCGAGTATGTTTTCAAGTTTCCGAAATTAAATTAAACGTACACGAAAAAACACCAGTGAGCTGCAGAGCTCCATCACTCAGTCTTGAGTTCTAAAGTTTGAGCACAATTTGGTTTAGAGAAAACCGCCTAATGTGTTTGAAATCAGGAATATACAATAATACGAGTGCATACACGTGATAGTGATTTTATATAACGTAAGACACTCGCATTAATTCGACAAGTATTTTTATTATTTTCGACGTCGGTTTTTTTTTTAAAACTCGTAAGAAACTCATTGTCGTCATTTTAACGGGGATGGGAAGAAACCTCTATTAGTTTTTGATTCTGGGTGAAACGAGAAATGTATCGGTTTTACAATGATGTTTATTTTTTTTTTTTAGTGTGAATACTTTTTCTACCAGAAAGAATACTTCGATTACTAAGTATAGCACCGTTTCCGAAAGGAAATTTTTTCTGGGTGGCACATTAGAGAGGTAATTTTTGAAATTATCATAGTTATTTAAGAGAATGATCAAAACCTCGGTCTTTAGGTTAAAAAAAATTGAAAGATTAAAAATAAGGTTGTCAGCGGGGCAACCGTTTTTATTTATTTTTTTGTTATTATTAAGGTTTTATTATTATAATATTATTCAAACAATCATTGTTGTCAGGGTAACGCACGTTATTGTTATCATTTTACCACAATATGATATATGCCACACATATTGTATTGTTGACAAAGCAACATAAGCAACTGAACTCCGATCAGAATCGTTTTTTCGTTAACAATGGTTTATCATTGCTTACAGGCATGCATTCAATTCCCATCTGTATTCTACCTTCACAAATTTCCACCTACAACAGTGTCTGCACCCACATGCATAGTATGTCCGTATTTTTTGATTTTCAGATAGCGACTTATAATACAATTTTCATAAATAAATATAGTTTAGGTTTAAATAAATGTCGCCGTAAATCTATATCGACCACTCTCTATATTTAACAGACACAATACGGCACAATAGTTTCCGTTTTCGGCGAATGTTCGAAAAAAGGAATGACAAAAAAAAAAAACAAATATATTATTATTGATAATATTTAAATTCCTACCCCGCGGGGTCACTACATGGGCAATTTTATTACCCTGATGGATTACTAGATTTTTCGCCGCTTTATAAAATGTAATCACTTTCACTCGAGTTTTAAATTGATTTTTTTTTTCTCTTTTTATGTTGCGCACGGTGAGCTACTCGATTCTTAACGGCCCAAGTGGAAAAAATTATGATGCTTTCATTTTGTTAATTTCAAAGGAAAAAGAAAACGGATACTTCGACGAATTTTATTGAAAGTAACTTATTACTTTTTTTTTATTTTCTGATACAAATTATTTCATTCAAGTTTATTTATTTTTAGATTCTAAGTGTAACAGAGAGTGTATCGGTTTCACTAAGAGTTTTTTCATTTTTTATTTTTATACTGTGTACAAAAATTCTACCAGAAATCATGCTCAGATTTATACGCGTGACACCATTTCTGAAAAGGATACTTTTGGGAGGTCATTTTCATATTTTCCAAGCGGTTTTCATAATATCTGAGAAAAACCAGGATAGAACGTAAGAATAACGGGAAATTTACAAAAATAATGTTTTTATTATTTTTCAATTTGGTTAGTTATTGTAATTCAGGTAAACATATTCTTAAAGACTTGAAATTTGGAAAAAAAAATTATACTTGCATTTTCTAGATATGGTAAAAACGTTTGAAACTTTTTCCATTTCTAAGCTATTTACAGATATTTTAATTTTGCGTGTTTTTTGTGTAAGTTTTATTCAATAGGTACTCAGTGGTAAAATTGTTAGACTGAACAGAAATGCTTGAAAATTTAACAGGAGGTTTATTAAGAGTCTTACTTTGTGGTCAAAAAAAAAAAATTGAGTTTAATGTAGTATTTTTTTTTGTATAGGAATTTTAATATCAAATTTTGACAAAATTCGTGGAATAAAAATTATGTGTAAACAAATCTAATTTTTCAATTTTTTTTTTTTTGTTTTGTTGAACATATGTTTATTGCCGATTTAAAAACGATAGTAAAGTCAGAATTGAGCGGACAGAATAATTTTCAAAATTACAGCTTTTTGAAGTTCTGATACTATGCAGTTATTATATTATGTTATGTTAAATAACTAAATATTGTCAACTTTATAGCATGTTTTTCGTAGCCGAATGGTTAAACATAACTGTTTTCCTCTCAGTTCGAAAAGTGAGTTCAAACTCGGGTTTCCAAAAAAATTTGTTTGCATTTGTTTTACTTTTTAACTAAACAAGGAAAAAAAAAATGCATTTTAGGTGTATCTAGAGACCCAATACATCGTTCGCTCGGACTATTTTAACCGCAAATACTCTTCGATTTTTTGTGCAAACTTTTCTACCAAAAATCTTGCTCTACCAAGTGTTGCTTATTTTCTGAAAGGAAATTTTTTCTCTATGATTTAGAGAGGTCTTTTTGTGATTTTTTAACGGGTTTTCGTAATAACTGAAAAAAACAGGATTAAATGTCGGAAAATCGGAAAATGTACGAAATTTAAGTATTAGAAAAAAAAAAATTATGGTCTTTTTTTTCTGTGAACAATTTGTCTTCCACCAATTTTACTCCAATTTACAATGATGGCACTTTTTCTGAGAGTAAATTTGACTAGGAAGGTACTTTAAGGTGGTCATATTTTGATTATTCCAAGAGTTTTCTAAGCAAATGTGTAAATCAACTGAACTGCTCTGAGAATCGATTTTTCGTTTACAATGCTTTATCGTTGCTTACAGATGTTTATTAAATTACCTATAACAGTGGCTGCATCCTACCTCATTATTCTAGGTCGTCTTTTTTATTACCATTTCATTTTAAATTTACTTTATAAATCTCGAATATCTCGAACACGTCATATTGTTTGCAAGAATACTCGCTCGGAAATCGAACGTAGCGCTTGAGGAGCATACGCTATTGACATAATACATGTTCAAAAACGATAAACTGTTCCGTTATTTAAGTAATTTTTGACGCGTGATGTTAACCGAAATGTTTGCGTCATAGCAAAATATAGATTTAAACGATTATAGTGTTCTCGTCACCTGTTTAATGTCTCTCCTCTACGTATTGATTTGGAAAAACGATAGACTTTTTGTTTGTCATCGATATAAATATTGCATTTTCGTATAGGCTTTTAGTATCGTAGATTCCCTCGGCAGTTTACTAAAAATTTCATTACGCTGTACGGCGGAAACGGGTGGGTGGGCGTGGCAAAATTACTCGATTTAATTCACAGAGCCGTAAGTATGCAATTTGCATTATAATTATAGTAAAAAAAAAAAAATAATTAATTATTCGGTCAAAACGCGTTATAATAATAGGAATGCAAATTTTCCGCTCTGCACTTTATTATTATTATATTTTTAAAATATAAATCGAATGCGAAAATATCGCGCAAATGTCTGCGGTGCCCACAATATGGGAGGGGAGGATATATTCGTAAATAAAAAAAAAAAACCGAACGTATACACTCGGAATGACGTCATCAAATACACACACATACAAACAGAATTGCTAGAAAAAAAAAATCTGCGTTGCCGCGGAATACGTCATCTGTGTAATGCGCCGGAAATCGAAAAAGAATTCAAACGACCGACGCGCCGTTTTAAACGACTTTTCACTTTCTTTTTTCACGCGGACTCTACGCTTCGTCTGTCCTGGGTCGTGCGTAGCCGTTGTGCGACAGATGACCGACGACGAGCGGCCCTTTACGCCTATACCCGCTAAACTTCTGAGTGATATTTTCCAATTTTTTAATTTTTTTTTTTTTTATTGCACTTAAGCTAGTCTCATTACTCGAACACTCGAATACTTCACTTTGCTTATTGGAACTTATTGGTGTCGTTTTGAATTTACAAAGTTTGCATTTTATACGGAACTCTTTTCGAAATATCAATCGCTTATCGTATAATAAAGGGAAAACATTGCAAACGACGTACCGGCTAGGAGATCAGAATCAGACGGCCGTCTGTGTGCACTAGCCACGCGTTAAAAACGGTTTTATAATTTTTTTCGAAGTTTTCCCGAAAACCGAGACTATTTCACCGTGTTGATTTCCTGGTATATTTGGACACTTTTAGCGACACTCTCAAGACCAAAAGAGTTCAAACTCGGCAATGAGAGTTTTTTTTATTGAAATGATCGGAATCGTAAAATTGAATATTCGCCGTGTTGTCGCGGAAGCAAGATGTTTTTTCGCATCTGTTCATCTCTACAGGTCCACCTAAATTTAGCCAGGGAGATGCGATTTTCAACCTCTCTCAAACCATTTTTATGCTCAGATTTTATGATTTCAAAGAAAACCAACGGATGTTAAATACCCTTACAGACCCGCGGAAATAAGCAACTTGGTTAAAATGTATATATATTATGTAAAAAGAATTGTTGTCGAGGATGTGCCTTTAGAAAAATTAAACTTCCAACTCCCGACTCCATCGTCTGTTTGCATCATGGTAGCGAAAATCTCGAGAACCACTTCACCTATTTCGATAAAACATTTTTTGTACGATTCCTTATCATTAAAAAACCAATCAAATATTGTAACAGCAGCAAGTTATCTGGGAGAACATTATTCGACACTATAACGACGGAGATGTGCTGCACATTTTTTGAGCAGCAGTGTTTTTTTTTTTTTTTTTGGTTTGAATAAAATTAAAACCGTCGTTGCGCGTGTTCGCGAATAAAAAAGAAAATTTAAAATAAAAACACATTATACTCACATATCCGGCACTATTCCGAAGTTAAATTATAATATGTTCGTAGTGGTGATTTTTCATAATATTTTAAAAATTTATTCCAACAGCTAGTAACAAGGCTGATTGTCGTACTGAAACAATAATATTATTAGCTGATATTCTATCGTTTTATGGTTTACGACACGTACGACACAAGTGTCGTCTCCCCGCGAAATCGAAACCGCTCAATACGATCGAAGCCGTTTGTGTTTTATATAATATTCACATTCTCCGCCAAAATGGCGACACAGTTATGATATCGTTTATTGTTTCTTTTTTTTCACCATAGCTGCGGAAAGTCGAATTGAGTCGCGTAACGCGTACGCAGCGGGTAGGTACTTTGCGACCGGAGAATAGGAAAAAAAAAAAAAAAAAAAAAAAAAAAAAGAAAAAACGAAAATCCGAATTTTCACCCGTCATCGCCGCCGTTTTCGGTATTCGCGTCACGTATTTTTTTAACAATCGCAATGTTTCTTGATTGGGTTATACGAAAAAAAAAAAAAAAAAAAAAAAAAAACCACAAAGAAAAAACATTTTTACTATGTTACATAGCGCTATATCATAACACACTCGGGAACGGCGTCGTCGCGACACAGCTAACGCTAAAGTCGTATTATATAATAATATATTGCAATGTTTTGCGATAAAACTCCGCAATTGGTTGAATTAACTGTAGTTTACTAGTAAAAAGAATAAAAAAAAGGCTGACGCTGCTGCTGGTGCCACTATTTTAGGAGGAAAGCCGGAATGGTGGATATATACTGCAGTGATTTAATTTATATTTGTACCCGACGATAAATCGTTGCTAACGAAAACCGATTCTGAGGATTCTTTGTCTTCCACAGCGTCTACATTTCACCACTGCTCTAATCGGTCGGTCGCTTCCTCTTGTTATCACGTGACCCAAACGGTTGTATCCTGTGTCCCTTAACGAAGTTCTACGTCACTGCAGGTGCTAGTTCTGCCGTAACGTATAGCTCTCAAATAGTTTCGTCAGTTACCCGTTTCGATTCATTGACGGTTGGTTCATGTGTTTTCCTAGTACGAAAATATATACATTTTTATTTTTGGAAATCCCATATTCCACAGGGTGATAAACATTTACGACACCGGTTATCTATGTCTAACGGTTCAAATTTTTCAAAACGTGTTCTTCAGATAACTTATGAAATAAATAGTTGCTGTAATATATGACTTTACGATTATGACTGCATTCAAAATTCCGTTCATAATTCAATTTAGTATCAATTTCGTTGTAGACAATTTCGATTTCTGTCGACCCGTTGAAGAGATATTCCACATTTAAATTTCGGTGGGAGGAGAGCGGCACGGCGCGCGGCGTTTTAATAGCGTCCCCTTGTCCATACTTAAATGTGGAACACCTCGTCAACGGGTGGACGGAAATCAGATATCGCCTCATCGAAACGTATTTGAACCAATACTCCGTCTGTTTATGGAGTTTCCGGTATTGGTTGCCGTTTGAAAATAAAAAGTCGGGATAGCGTAGTAGTTTCACCCCTCTGAAATTAAAGGCGATAGAAAAATAACCGTGATGTGACATTTATGGAGCGACTTATTTTCTAAACGATCTAAAACGCGAATTCCGAAAAATACATTCCGCGATAATCACGAGCGTCTCCCGTTATGTTGATCGCTGTGCATTATACAGTAACGTAGTGTATCACGCGTTTGACGTAAAATAACATATTATAATATTCTGCGCGCGCGGATACGCCGTTACTCCACGAGCCGCTAAAACGACGAATAAATTATTAATTAATATTATACACGCACCGTACAGCGGCGAAACAACGGAGCGATTATACGCGTGCTCGTGTCGTAGACAATTCAGTCACAGACTCTCGCGACGTCTTTTAATATCACCACAGATTGGCATAGCGTGCACAGGCGGGTCATCGATTTTACCGAAGGACATAATGTGACGCGCGTTTGGTTTTTGATTTTTTTTTTTTTTTAGATTCTAAGTGGTTCGAGGAGGAACTTATTGGTTTTACAATACTGTTTTTTTTTTTTTATTTTTTTAATTTGTAAACAGAAATATAGAAATTTAAATTTTTTTTTTTCTCAGCCTATGTATACGCGTTATACAATACGACACAATTTCCAAATTCGACATCTCCTTCCTTGACGAAATCCTATAAATACGTCACTATATTGTAATAGCGTACGCAGCCAATGATGGAGAGGACCTAGGATTTACAAAACGGAAGAAGCCAATAAATAAATCGATACGGTACGTAATTATCGGACAACGTATACATAACGTTGAAACGTATTAAAAAGTACATAAAAATGAAATTAAAATTCCATTGAGCAAAAATGTCACATCTTTACTCAAATCTACGGCTGTGAAAAAAACTGTCCGTTCGTATTTACCAACCGAGGAAAAAACCAATCTATTAGTAAAACGGCTCGACACAGGCATCGACTATCAGCACTTACCGTAATAATATGGTCCGCGTTTCTATAGATAAACGAAAACAAGTCTCAATAATAAATCAATACGGTCAATGGGTAGGGGGAGTACGGTCCCCGAGCCCGACCCCTTAATAACGCCACTGCTTGCTAGCATTGTACTGTTCTGTCGGATTTCGGTTTCCGTTCGTATATTCGCTTTTCCGGCCGAAAATCGCAATGATATTGGCGTAACGATACTATATCGAGGGTATGATATTAGTAGTGCAATGTTATGCTCACACAACGTGTATACAATCTATATACGTATAAAATAACATGTCCTGGCTGATTCATCATCGCCTAGCCCAAAATACCGGACGGATCGGGTTGAAACTCGGCACGCGGATAGCTATTGTCGCGCAGGCATCCGCTAAGAAAGGATTTTTGAAAATTCAATCCCTAAGGGGGTAAAATAAAGGTTTTTGGGTATATTCGGTACGGATATCTAATTGCTTAGTTATTTATTTTTGTTTATTCAAGGGTTACCTTGGTGATACGGATGATAATTTGGTTGTCACGGATAAGACAATCATTACATTTTTGAATTAATACAGTTTTGTTGTGAGTAGGCAGTTGAATTTTCTAGAAAATCGTATAGAAAACCGCAGTAGAAACGTGATCGTTATCGATACGGCATGTATCGTCGTTAGCGAGGGAAAAAAAAATAACGACTAGACTTTATAGATGAAAACAACGAACTGAAAACTAATCATTTTGTATTTTAAACTGACATTGTTGACGTTTTTTATATTACAATGAAACACAGGAGACGGTAATAACGACATAATATTATTGCACACCGGTCCAGTGGCGTACATAGGGGAAGGTTTTGGGGGTGATCCTCCTTCCCCGAAATTTATGGTTGGTACGGCATACGTGCGTATTTATGAATTTATTTAATTAACTAAAACCCAAAAGCTTTTTTTATAATCCCTCCTCAAATTAATTTCTATATCGAAATATTGCCACTGCACCGGTTCGATCGATTCACGTGGGAAATATTGTTTTGTATTATACAACGTGAAATCCTTGCGCCTACAGAGTCGATTATAAAAATTATAAAATTTAAATAAACGAAAAAATATTCTATATATATATATATATATACGTATAATAAAAAAAGTATGTATTGGAAAAAAAATCGAAAGTTTTACACTCCGAAATGGCCGGCGAAATCAACAACGGTTTTAAATTAAGTAAACGATAGGGTTTTCCTTGTTATCCCACCCCCGTTTCATTTTTCCCTTGAAACGATAAGCCGTTATTATAACTTGTACCTACAGACGTGTCCGGTAAAAATGTGACGCGTCCAAAAACCGTATGACCGCCGAAACTTTGACACGTTCGTTTCCTTGTCGCGAACCGGACGGAAACCCTCGCCCTGTACAGGGTGATTCACTAAGCGTGCCACCCCGTTTTTTCGACTGAATTTCGTACATTATATTCAAATTACGATTTTGGAATTTGTATGTGTAGTTGAAGCCGATATTTTCGAATTTTTAAATTTTTCACAATATTTAAGGAGTACCGTGTGGTGATAGTAACTTTGGTTTTTCAAATGAAAATAAATAAGAGTAGAACGCCACACAAAGTGCCAACACACAAATAATACTCTACACTACTTTCCCTCTACCTAAAGTGAAGAGCAATATCTCGTTAACGGGTTGACGGAAATCAAACAATTTAATACCAAAACATATTTAAAGTAATAATGCTCTGTTCTTTTTATGGAATTTTTAATATATGGGTTTTCATTTGAAGAAAAAAAGTTGCAGGTGTCACCACAGGATACTCCTTAAATGTCGTTAAAAACCCGAGTGTTCAAAAATATCGGTTTCAACTACGGTAAAAAATTCCAAAAATTCGAATATGCATACATGCAAAATTAAACTGAAAAAATAGGGCGAGCACGCTTAGTAAATCATCCTGTATATTGAACGAACATAGTTTATTTATTTTTCAAAGGCATAACGGTCGAAGCCCGAATACTGGGCCGATAGTGACTTGAAAACTAATATCGCGACACAAACGAGTCGATAAATGATGGGTAGCATGAGAATATAATACAGGTATACAATACGAAAGTAGTAAATATACAGTTTAATAATCAAGTTACGGGAGAGAGTTCTCAAGTCGGTATAGTGCATTTATTTATCATCCACGCATCCATGCACGTGATACGTATTGAAGGTTGCCAACTCTTACGGTCGCGAACACTTTTCCTAAATAAATGACGTAATTATTATTTTTTTTTTTCGTGAGAAAACACGGATTTTGTGTACCGGTTAAAGATTCGAAATTTCCGGAAAAAATGAAATCACGGATCGAGAGTTTTCCGAAAAATAAGAAAAAAATCGAGCGGAAAAAAATTGTGTAGCAACATAATGTATTACCGTAATATCAACTATGAACAACCCTCTTTGGATCTTTTATTTTTAATTTTTCGTTTCTTCCAATTTTTCACGGACCCGTGGAAAAACCGTTTTTTCGAGAATTTTTCAAAATTTCCCGTCATTTCGAATACTAGTTCCAGTGCGCACACTTAAATACATAACGCATATAAAGCCCGCAGACGTAAAATAAAATGTGACGACGATCCTGGTGGTGACTTCGCGACAGATAAATGTAAATGTCGAATTTCGGTGTACGGCGTACCCTTTTCGCCGATAAAATAGGATACAGGACGCCAATCGTATCGATAATAGTGCGGACGACGGCGAATACGGTTGCCGGTCGTCTCCCGCGAGTCAGCATCGGCTTTTCCCGAGTCCCTCAGGTGACCGACCGCGGCGGCGGTAATTCATATTCCGTTAAATTCTTAATCAGTCTCGTCCGTTTAACGCAATAATTTTGTTCGGCAATAATCTTGTCCGTTTTGTTCGGCGACGCGTTTATTGATTACTATTGAATATCGACGCAAAGGTCAACAGCCCCCTCGAATGATCACCGCGGTCCCTCGCTGAATATCGCTGAATTTCGTTTGCGATCATTCCGCGATTTAGATATATTGTAATGTATGAAAAAAAAATAAAAAACAAAAACAAAAACCGTACACTCTCGTTAGTATAGTTGGTATTATGATTGTTTGCCCGTCACTCGCTTAGACCCGTGGTTCTCGACCAGTGTGTCGCGTATTGCACTGACGTGTGACGCCGCAAATAATGTTTTTCGAAATTCGAAAAAAGGTTATCAAAAATCAAATTGAAGTTTGTCACGATTTTCGTGGATCTAAATTAGGGTGCCGTTAATGTGGAGAACCGCTGATCCGGATGATATTATTATTTCTCGTCCCGATGGGTTTCGTATTTATTTTTCGAAAATAGAAAAATAATTTATCGGGAGAATTGCATCGAACAAAAAGGTAGGAGGTATTTAATGGACCGCTGTAGTTCTTAGTGGTCAAAAAAAAATAATAAAATAAACGAAACCACTATTTAAAAATCAAACGTTCGGTTTTTTTTTTGTCCGAATTCGTACAAATTGCTATTACACATGCACACACAAACAGCATACACACGCACATACACATCGAGTGTAAACACTCACTAAGTTGCAGGTCAAAGGGTTGTATGGCAACAATTCCCGGTCCCGAGAGAATAGCGTTTTGGACGACAGTTTTTTTTTTTTTTTTTTGACATTCGAAAACGGTTTATAAACGTAAATGTTAAAATATTTTTATATTAATGTGTATATTGTATGTATTGTATATAATTTTTACTCGTATATTCCTTTTTGGGTTAGGCAAATGTTCAAATTCGTTCACGCAATGCCCGGGCAAATACGGTATTTTTGTCCGGTGATGCTTCATTTGAAACATTTATCAAGGTTGTCCTTTGTTGTTTTTTATTTTTGATTTTTGTCGGTGTCCAAGTAATCTTGCCAACAACGGGAAAACACGAGTATTCACACTCCGTTCAGAATCTTTTTTCGTTTGCAATGTATGATTTATCGTTGCGTGCAGTACGGGCATGTGGGCACACCTAAACCGAATTAACCTGCGTTGTGTGTAGTGCACACACTACATTCTCAAATGTATCCACCCGCACCGGTAGCAAACCCGTGAGCAGTATAATTATAGAAACTCTTTCCCGGAAACGCGACCATCGCGGAACTATTTTTTTTTTTTTTTTTTAAGAAACCGGACTTTAATTCGAGAGTGAAAAAACCGGGAAATATATATGTTTATGATTTTCCCCCAATTATTTTAGGAACAATACATGCCTCGAAAACACATATACGTATCTGTCGCGGGCAACGTATACAATATATATATATATTTCTAATTTGTTTTAAAATACATCCATGTCGTGACGTAACTATATGGCGTTCTATAATGTTGTTTGTATTCGCCGTGTCTTCTGTCGTAAAAAATAAAAAAAATACGGCTCTCCGCCGGTCGGTTATTTTTATATACGTGTACTGCGTCGTCCCCGTTATACCGACTTTTTACCGGGGGTGGTTAAGGTCGTGGCGATATCAACAGTGGATAATTATAGTATGTTTCGTATAAAAAAAAAAAAATAATAATAATAATAATAAAAAACTGAATTCTCGGAAGTTACGGTTAATTGGACTAAAAATAACGACGCTGGAGATATATATAATTTTATGGGTATAGGAAAAAAAACATATCCGAACGACGAAATAATAGTTTAGACTGTTTTCTTCTGGACTAAGGTTTATTTTTAACCGAATTAAAAAAAAAAATTGAAAATAATGAAACCCTTATGTCAGCAACCTTTCCCGTTATTGTTCTTACTTTTTTTCCCGGT